TCTCCGAAACAATCCTTATGAACTCCTTTTTGTCTTTGTTTTTCTTGCCAAAGGCTGCTCTTGCTGTTATGCCATATGTCAATGAAAATATTTTCTCACCAACATTGACAAGGGATCCTTCATTCATGAACATGGTTTTGATCAAAGCTGAAACCTCTTGTTCCCTTATTGGTTGGAATGATCGGACACGGCTTGTGCTCAAAAGCTCCATCATGCAAATCTTCCGAATTTGTTTCCAATAGTTTCCATGTGGCGCAAAAACAATGCCAGTAAAATCATATGCCATGATTCTGGCAAAAAGAAGATAAGGTCTTTGGGAAATTTAACATCATGAGTTTTCAAAACCTCTTTTGCAATTTCTTGTGATGATACTATAATGGCAGGAACTTCACCCATTTTTAACCACATCAGAGGTCCATACTTGTTGGCCAAGTCTCTTAGCTTTTAATGGGGTAAAGGGCTTATGAACTGGTGCAAGTACCCTATAAGAGGTAGTTTCCAGGGTTCTGGAGGTAGCTTACGGTGGTGTTTTTGGCCTTTTTTCCTTTCAATATTCTAGCAATGATGAACAAGAAAAAAAAAAGTAAGTAAAAGAGTAGAGGAAAATCCTAGCTCTATGGAACTCAAGGAAATACCACCTTAACTTGTTCTCCTTTTGGGAAAGAAAAAGTTGATAGGGTTATTTGTGGCAGGCAAATTATTTATATGTTTAGATAGAAATTTTCTTGTTAAACTAATACTTAGGTTTCATGACCATTCTTAGATATCGGATTAAAAAGTTATAATATAGGGCACATATGCCACCAAACCTATCCACCCGCAGGGGTAATAATTGTTTTATTTTGTTCTTATCGGAAAAAAAAAAATTTTGAACTCGATGTTTAAGTAAAAGATATTTACATATATCATTGAGTTAAATATTCAAAAACAACTTTTAAGGCCACATAACTATTTATTTATATTTTTGTTAGGTGAAATATTTATTTAAAGGGATATCCTCTGAACGCAAGATTATATATATATATATATATATATATATATATATATAACAATTTCTTGCCCAGGGGTTACTCCCCCATTTGCATTAACTGAGATGTGTAGGGATTAATTTAATATTATATGTTACACATATGCTAAAAAAAATTAGGTTCTGTGAGAGCTTGATCATCATTTCCATGAGAGGGTTGACCCTGCTGGTTTCTCTCTGCCATGGAATGTTTTGCTTGATTTAGGCGTAGAATTCATAATATATTAATCAAAAGGAAGGAAATCTGTAACTTGAAAAGTAGTTTCTCCATCATCCTTCATGATACAGAAGATGCAATTTGGTATGTTGAATTTTGATTCACTTTAATTTGAGATTTACTGTCCCATTAATCTGCTATGTTCAAGCTCTTTGTCAATCTCAGTTTCATGGCCCCTCTTGAGGCATATTGACAGTTAAGCAGCATAAAATGGTGCATTAAATTCTTAACAGCGGTTCCTGCACCATCCTTGATTAGATAGATATGCCATATCTAAAATCAATTAATTTGAACTTTGATGTCTTAATTTTGTCCAATTAATGCGTACGAATTTGATTACAGGAAAATGGGACTTTCAGGCATCATCCATTAATCCTGAGGAGGCTTGGTTTCACATTGAACCTTCCTTGAATGTGCAAATGACTTTTCGGTAGTGTGCATTGAAG